ACAGTATGGTGAGGGGCGTAACATTTCCTTCACACACTTGAGGTATTCGGCCAATCATAACGCATTGGATAGCTGGCCAATCAGAGCACACCTCGCTTTTCAGACCGATTAGTTTTGTAAAAATCGACGCGTTTCAGAAAGGCGGGGCATAGAGGAGAAACAGTAATGTACAGTATGTGGAAAATAATGTGTTTTTTAACCTTAAACCGCATAAACACGTTTCATTACACCAAATACACAAAATAATGTTCTTTTTAGCAGCATCATATGACCCCTTTAATTCTAACAAATATGTTCTTGTTAAAAACTAACCAAAATTAAAAATAATTTACTTATAATTTCTGCACAGGAGAGTCTTGGTGTTGTTTCCAAACAAAAGGAAATATATCGGTATCGGCTATCGGCCAAAATGAGTTGAAAAATATCGGCATATCGGATATCGGCAAAAATCCAATATCGTGCATCTCTAGGATGAATCCATGTTTTATATCAGTCGCGTCTATTTGCTATTCAGCAGCTTTGCCACCCAGGTGGCATTTAACTAACGCTAAGCCTAAGATATCAGGATGGTTTGCCAAACATTCACTCCAGGATCCCAGCATTAAAAACTGGTGGCTAATTTTTTAACAATGTGTCTGGTCGTTTCAGGCTGATCTTAATAGGTGGTACATCTGTACAGATGGTATGCACACACAATTCAGTGAACAAAGTGCTGTTGCTCATTTCACATGTGAACAGTGTGTTAACATAAATCAGATCAGCAAAACAGCAGCCCACAAAGGGTGTGGAAATTATTACTAAACCTCATAGAAAAAAAGATACCTCATCCCTCTAAAGCACATAGTTACAATTAAACATGTTTAACGTTTTCAATATCCGTAATAATGCTGATTTTAGAGTGGCAAATTTCATTAACTAGTTAAATAGTTTTGACTATTTAAAATGATTTTTATATCTTCAGGACAATAGCTAGTATAAGGAATTTCAGTATAATTGTAATCATCCATCTTCAAGTTGTGGTTTATATGTATTTTTTATGTGTTTAAAATCTATGATGATTTTTATAAAGCAACCATAAGAATTTTTTGTATTGTTAGTAATATTTAGTAACACTTTAGATCAGGGAAGCCTATTCACTATTAACTAGTTGTTTATTAGCATGCATATTGCTAGCATATGGGCTGTTTATTAGTGCTAATAAAGCGCATATTAATGCATGACCATATTCTAGATCACTTTACCCAAGCCCATACCTAAACATCACCACTACAACAACTACCTTACTTGCTATCAAATAAGCAGCAAATTAGGAGACAAAACACAAAGTAATATGTGTTCCCTAATCTAAAATTCGTCGTATTGTTCATTGTATATCATTGTATTGCATTACATTATATTTTTTGCTTTGATCATAAAACTAAGCATTTAAATATTATCTCACTAAGACATATTGTTGGGAGATTCAGAATGAAAACTGATATTTATATCATTTTATGTAAGTATCTGCTATACTGTTCTCATTGATTTACATTACAAGCTTTCAGAATTTCATTGTACTTTTTGGGCACATAAATATCAGCATCTGCAACAAATCGCATATTTTTTTGCTCAATTAGGGCCTCTAGAAATGAGAAATCTTGCCGTGGCAACTAGCTGAAATAAACAAACAAAAAAGAAAAATTGAAAGTTATATGAATTACTAAAATAACTTGAAATAAAATACAATTAAAGCTAAATAGAAATATTTTTTAAAAAGCAAAAGCAGAAAACAAGTTATTTAAAAATAAAAATAAATAAATAAAATACAAGTTAATTGAAAATAATAATTATGAATAATATGTACATAATTTTTAGTGTCGCTAGCGCTCTTTGTCATAGCAGGGCTCTGATTTTCTCTCCTCTCCTTCAGTCGAAGTTTAGACCACGGTGTGAGAGGAGGACCCTCGCTTTACGGCCCCCGACATTGCCTGTCTGAAGACAGATACTCACCAGACAGGTATGAGTTCGCAAAACACGCTCAGATGCCACGGTTTACAAACAGCCCTTGCCCTTAAAAGCTTTATTGTTTTCTAGATTGCCTTTGCTGATACTGGGAACATAAATGGGAATGTTTCCATATACCTTCGTAATTTCATATAACATGATTACAGAAATTCAGTGTGAGAAATATGATGTGCCACATAGAGAGAACCTTAGAAAGCAGGAAAAAATTTATTCCTCCTCTTTTCTTTTTGACATCACTCTCTCATTTTATCCGCCAATCTCTCGCTTTTGTTATCTTTCCATAGCTCCATATTCAGTAGCTCCGTTCAAACATATTTCTGTTCTTTACTCCCTGTGGTTGCAGCCAGTATCTTACCCTCCCTCCTCGAACCAGACACAGACAGCCAAGCATCGACCCCGCTATCCAGGACCCCAGGTATTCTGTCAGGCCCGAGCAACGTTACGCGACCCTGCCCACCTCCCCCTTCTGTCCAATCACAACGCTTCTCTCACACTTTCACCCTCCCACTTCCCCCTGCTGCTAGTTGATTGACAGGTGACAGCTTGCCCACACATAGCACTGCATAAGAGGTTGCTCTTGTCACTTTGTTTATTCATTATAAATATGAAATGAAGACTAGTGAACGCACTCATACATAATTTATCACATCTTAGGACAACAGAGTCATGTTTCTACACAAGAAAACATCTGTTACTGAGACTCTCACTTCCTTAGACTTTAAAGGAAAGCTCAAGTTTCAATACAAGCAAAGCTCTGTCAACATAATTTTGTGACAAACTGTCTGTTACCATAGAAAACCATTTGGACTTGCTCTTCAGTTTTTTACAACTCATTTTGCACTTATTTTTGCTAAAGCGCTTCTTACGTACAGAAAAATTACAAAATTATTCATCTCATTTCAAGACTTGCCGTTTTAATGTGGCAATACTTTGTTTTTAAACATTTATTATATAACATAAATGTCACATCTGTTCATATTGCAAATGTATTATTTTAAATGTGATTTTGGTTTGTTTTGTGGTATTCCATCTAATTTAAAATTAATTGACATTTAAAATACAGTAAAAACACTAATATTGTGAAATATGATTTCAATTTAAAATAAGCATTTTCTATTGTAATATATTTTAAAATGTAATTTATTCCTGTGATTAAAGCTGAATTTTCAGCATCATTACTTCAGTCTTCAGTGTCACATGATCCTTCAGAAATCAGTCTAATATGCTGATTGTTATTATCTATTCTGTGGTCAAAGAGAAAAGCTTGTATTAAAACTGGCAGGGGATTCACTGAATGTCTAATATATAGGGTACAACGGAGCTAAATGCGCCTTTGATATTATTTTCATCTAAACCACTAGATGGCAGAAAAACTTGGCGTAGCACTTTCCAAAACATCCGTTTTTCAAGATGCA